TTATTTCAAACGCATATAGTAATTATTGTCGTATTTGAGATTTTAAGGATTCGGGGTATATAGCTGTTAAGGAATTGAGTATTTTTGGTAGGATAAATATTGGAGTATTATAGCAATCAAGAAATGTTAAGGAGTTGGGTAAAGTTGGTAGGATAGTTATTGAAGTATATTGGCGTTAAAGTTCCGTTGAGGAGTTGGGTAATGTAGGTAGGATAGTAATTGGAGTATTAGAGCAATAAAATTCCGTTATAGAGTGGGGTAAATTTGGTAGGATAGTTATTTAAGTATAAGAGCAATTAAGTTTCGTTAAGAAATTTGGTAATGTTATAACAGTTAAGTTCCGTCAAGGAGCTGGTAAGGTTGGTAAAGTATTAATTTCAGTCATATATATACTGAGTTTAGTTAATTTTCGATATCGTTGTAATCCTCCTAAGGTGTTTAATATGTCATCCTTATTAAATTCCGTAATCGTTACACTATCAATAATTATCTTCAATATTTGACTCTAATTCTTCTAAATTCATCTAACCAGCCAAATGATGATTTGATACATAATTAAATCGAAATGTTTCTCCAAATGAATTGTTTATAATAGAAGAAGCTCCGATATTATCCAAACGACGCTGTTGTTGGAGATTTAATTCATCATAATTCATTAGATTATTTTCTGTAAGTTATTAGTTATTGTAACAATTGCATTTAATTTATCAACTATTTGGTTCATTGATGGACGAATATCCGGCCTCTGAAGTTAGATATAAAATTTAATAATTCTTATACCCTTATAAATAATTTTATAATTATATATTTACCAGTTTAAATGTTCACATAAACTTCAGGTGTGCCGGGAATGATGTTTCTCTAGGTCCTCCTAAAATTTCGATAGCTAAACCAATATCATATTCTTCATTCTTAAAATAAAAAAGGAGGATAACCGCTTGATATCTCCCATAACAGTACGTCAACACTGTAACGTCTCTTTTTTCATTTAGCGTATATATTTTTGTAATGTGTTGTCACATTTACTTTGCCGGTCGAATCTTTTTGGATCAACATAAGGAAATACACCGTTGATTTACTTGCTGCTTCAATTCTTTTCGATAATCCAAAGTCTGCTAGTTTAATAACACCTTGATGAATTAATATATTGTTGGAATGCTAAATATAGAGGTATAAAATTAAATATTAATTATTAAAGTAATATTAAGAATCAAAATATATATCTTATGTAAGATTACCAAATCACGATGTCACAATTCCTTCTCCATGTAAACACGACACTGCACTAGCCAACTGGTAATTATCATCCCAGATAAGCTCATCAAAATTATCCTTTAAATAATTTCCAAGTCATTACTAACAAATACTTTTACAATTGGTCATTTTTTTAAAAAAATATAAAGAGTTAAAAAAAGATAAAATAAAAATAAAAAAATAACAATAATAATTTTTATCATAAACATTAAATAATTTGTTTTGAAGTTATCCCACGAAAAATGAATAATATTATCATGAAAATCAACTTCACAATGAAGTTCGAGCTAAATTATTAATTTGATGATTTTATACTAAATAGATAATAATAGACCAAACACAAATTTATTTGCCTTTACCTCACGAACAAGTTCTTTAACAGAGACATCGTTAAAGTTATTAAACGATTTTAATCACTTCGAAATTACTAAAATGTTTATATTCGTAGTATTTGATATTTTACTTGAACGGGTCTATATCGGTCTTCGACCTATATTTTAACGCCCCGTTCAATAACAATATTATCTATTGGGCTTAGTGCGCGTGTACCAATATTAATATAATGTCGATCAGATTATTATGTCTTTCATTGATACATACTTCTTCATTAACCGAGAAAGTTTACCTTAAATGTAAAAAAATAATACGTTAATAATTTAATATACTGTAAATTAATTACATTCACTTTTTTATTAGATAAAACATTTTTGCCATATAATTATAAATTTTCAATTTGTTTCCTTTAGACCAGGAAGAGTAATTTTCTACAAGTAGTAAAATAAAACCTTAACCTCATTTTGTTACTTTTTAATTTCCATATGTATTTACCTGATCTATTTCAAGTTGATTTAAGTTCAGATTTTGCTGTTGTGGCGTAAGTATAATTGAGGATCATACTGCTGTAGGAGTAGAGCATGTCTGAGGAAGAACTTGTTGAGAAAGAACTTGTTGTTGCTGCTGTTCTGTAAGAATTGGTTTAGGTAAAAATAAGCACAAAGTTGTAATTGTCTTCTTTTTGAAGGTCCATGAGAACTGGTATTAGTACGCTTAGTAGAAGTTTTTATTTAATTTGTACTTGATTCATGTTATTTTTCTTTTTTTTTTAGAGATGAATAATGAAAGCTATCAAAAATTCTATTTTGCAGTTTCAAAAAATCAACTCACACTGATCGCGTTACACAATTTCATCAGTCAATATAATCGGCATTAGGATGTTCATATAATTAGTTGACCAAACATCCCACCAGTGTTGGCTTGGTATCTGTAAACTTAAACGTCATAGAAATTTCACACCACGTGATTTGTCACCTTGCTAGTAAAACTATTTGTCACGCCTATATTTATCACACAGTTAATTTCTTATTGCCAAAATGCCAGCCAAAAGTTACATGGGTGAAATTTTTATTAGATAAATAATTTAAGCAATTAATCACGTTTCATACATCTAGTTTAAATTATTTAATTTTTTATGTAAAATTAACAACAAAGATGAATTGGTTTAGTGGTAACAGGTCTTGATATAGTTTGAAGCGTGCTATGTATTCATTGATTTTAAGACAAATCACATGATACTTTTCTTCTTAATAAGTAATTAAATTATAAACTTATTAAAAAATATTTTAATAGAACCTTAAATTTGTCCATTAGTTTTGTAAAACTTTTTAAAATACAGAAAATTGTTTTAAGGCATTCTTTATTGTGAATTATAAATTTTATTTCTGAAAATTAATAAATATATATATTTTTACTTTCAGTCAATTGAAAGTTTGAGGAACCTATTTTTTTTTGCATAGAGAAATTAAAATATTTTTTTTTATATACTCTTTTTAAAATATTTCATGAATTTTCACAGCATCACAAAATCATGATATCCCACAGTTGTTGCGTGAAATAATTTGTTTTCACAATTCTATCATAAAATATAATCTTTTTAATCCACCATTATTTTTTATTTTCACCATGAAAATATTAGTAAAATGTTACAAAATTTATATATATATAAAAAAGTGATTGCATTTAAGAGTTTTGCCATCAGATAGTCAAATATACAGCAGCAAGTTTTATTCTGTTCCACAAAATAAATAGCGTGAAAAAAGATTATTATTAAAGAAATATTAAAATAAAATGGGCTACAGAATTTATTGATTTGATTCGATGGTTCGCGATATTTTTTCACTTTTTTATTAGATATTTTATCATACCCTATATGTGGGATGAAAATTTACTTGTAATTGATGGCAATACTTTGGATGTTGAGCAAGTATTCCTAAAAAACCCAACTTTAATTTCATTGATAATTAACAACAAACTTGAAAGTCAGGATAAAAATATTTGTCAATAGGTATGGTATTGAATCTATCAAAATTGATATATTGTGTTAGCAAATTTTGACTTGCACATTACCAAGTAGTGAGTTGATAAATCGAATCTGTATTATTATATTGTGACAGAGCGTAGAATCTACAGTCACATTAAACTCCCATTTATAAGCGGATGAATCTGACTATCAAGTTCATTCATATTTTTATAAGATATTAAAATATTCGCATTCTAAGATATTATACAGTACAACTACACCTAGTACTATAGAAGCAAGCGTATTATTTAAATTGAAGTTATGTTTCTTGATTTTTATTATAATCAGTTATCTAAAAATTTCATTAAAAGTTGCAATTTCTTTTCAGAATCATTATTTCCATGTCTACATCCGTGACCTTATCCACAATTCACAGTTGGAAATCTTTCTTCTTGTGATGTGTTATTTAATCCACGTTTACGAGTTCGAGTTTTTTGATTGTTCTTCTTGAAATACCAATGGCATCAATTGAATTAACGGTAGGTGTTTCTAACCAGTAGGAATTTTTATGAATGCAATTGTTTACATTTAAAATAAAAACTAAAATGTTCTCATTTCTTCTCAATTTTAGATAATTTTTTTTTACTTTCGATTCAGTATTGTCTTTGCTCTTACCAGAATTTTGCATGTGAGATTAAATTTTCAAGAGTATTATACGATCTAAATATCTATTAGTAAAGAAGGATAATGCGATCTTATAGAAGCAAGTTACAGAGAAGCCTAAATTTCATTTAATATGATTGTTAGTTCGAATATTCATATTAGAAATTTTATTGGTAAATTTGACACGGCTAATAGCCAATCACGCATAGCTTTCTTCTTCTATAAGAAATTTATTCATATAGTATAGTTTAATATAATTTAATATACCTTTATACCTTTATAAGTTGTAATTAACTGCAACTAGTTGTAACTATTTATAGCAACATCTTTGAAATAGAGATTCGATATTCGGATTTAAACCCGGAACCGATTTTTAAAATTAAATAAATCCCGGTTCCAACCTCTATCATCTTCTTCAAAAGTTAATTTTTCTAATTCTTCAAGTACCAGTGCTTCCAAATTGTATTATTTTGGAAACTTTGTTCTAATTTAAAATAATAAGCAAAAAAAAAAAAATCGTTTTTATATTCTACATTGCGATCAATAAACCTGTTAATACCGTTAAATTAGCAAAGTTGTAATCGAAACTGCCGAAACTTTCGAAACCCATCGAAAACCATCGAAACTATCGATCGAAGCTGTCGAAATAATTTCTGAAAAGTTTCGACCTATACCAAAATGGGTTGAGGGTTTTGCCTCACAACTATAAAAACAAATAGATCATTAATTAATAAAATTCTATCTTCATAAATGCTTTTTATTAGATAACTTAATCGGATTAGATTTGCTATATCAATTTATCAGAAGCGACAGATTCTAGCTTTACCTCTTCTGTTATTTTTTCTTCAAGAAATACTCGAATCTTTAAGAATATTTGAAAGTCGTATTCTACTAGGAATCGAAAATCGAGTATATAAATCGAATCTATTGTTTAGTATTGCAATTATTTTTTATAATAAAAAAAGGAAGTCCGAGACGTAATTCAAACGGACCAATATCGTTATCAAAGCATTGCTTCATGATAACGAAGTGAAAGAAAGAGCTAGAAATATCTGATGAAGAAGTATCCGAAATTACTATAAATGAATATTTATTATCTTTTGACGAAGCAGTCAAACCTAGTAATTAAGAATGGACTTTGTCAAGCGGAATACTCGTCAGAATTGTCCTCTCACAATAAACATTAATGGTTCTAGAAAATTCTAAAAATAACAAAACGAAAACAGTTGAAAAAACATGTAACAAATAAAATTCGAAGTCCGTATTCTTGAAGGCATTGGGAAGATTGAGGTTGTAAGTAAAACAGAAAATTGATTGATGTTTTAATGTTTTGTCCACTATTATCACTTCTGCAGTTATGTTTAAATTATCGATATTGATAAAGAAAATGAAGAATCGTTCAGCCCAAAAATAAATCTTCAAATCACGAAAATATACTTCACAATGTACTTAAGCACTTTTTATTTGTGATTCAGTAACTGTGCCGGTAAATATTAAAACTAATTCAAATCTTTTATTACTAGCATTGATATGATCCGCATAATTTTGTGGATGAGGATGGCAAAGAAATCAAACTGACGGAGATGAATTTGTTCTTAAAACATTGACCCCTTTGATGGACATTATTTCTTTAGATATAAACTAGATTGTCAAACTTCAATGGTAACCACATTTTTTATGGATCATTAAACATTCTTTGTAAATTTTACTATCTGCACTTCAGTAATGCATGCTGGAAAATAGATTTGAGGATTGAAACTCGGAAGCAACGCATAGAACTCAGTCATTCTGAATGCGCTCAATCACCGACATCTGCAAAAATTGTTCGAGATCGAAGTAAGATTTTACGTATCAACAAATGTATACTTGACAATTATTTGACGTAATATTTCTGACAAAGATATTGAAAATTCGGCAATATTTGGATTTTCAATTTTCTGATAAGATTTGTTTAAATTGCTTTGATATTTATTTGACATCTAACATTTTATTATGTATTAGGATTATATGGTCAACTTTTTGCAATGGATAATGATTTTTATTTACAATAACAACTATCCAATATCAAAATCTGCGCCAAACATTAAAGGTTTTATACTTCTTTAAGGTTCATAACCATTTCATGGATCAATCCTATATGGGAGGGGCCTGTAGAAAAGGGGGGAATCAAGTTTTAGTCAAAAATTTTTTATTGGTTCACTCTGCCGATAATGGTCATGTGAACAAAACTAGCTTAATAACTAAACTTACTCAAAATTTGTAGATTTCCCCTTTTCTATTCCGCCTCCCATATTTCAAAGATTCTGAATAATTAGATGTGTCTATAAATTTTATAACAGTAGTTTGCCCTATTTACTGAAAGGGTTTAAAATATCGTTACCAAATAGAATATATTTTAGCCATGATTTCGTTACGATCTATTCTCTATATAGAATGCAGTTACTGCGCATTAAGACGTAATCAAATTTTCACAACCATTACGATATTAATTATCGAAATTAGCAAGAGATTAATGCATATCATTAAAATATTGTAAAATAATTATATGTTTTTTACTAAATATCATGATATAAAAATTTTTGTAGTGAAGTAATAATTCTTTATAAAGATATTATACATCCTTGAAGAAATAAATGTTTCTAATATACAAAATTTATCAAAATTGTGACCATTACCGCTAATGCATTCATCATCATTACAATAATGAATAAAATGCGCAGTGCTATTTGTATTCATTTCGCTTAAAGGACGGATTTAAACTTGACATCATAACTTCTTTTGATTAGCAATTTTCGAATCTATCGACTACAACAAAAGCAATACGTTGATTTCTTTTATGGCTAAAAATTTATCATAAAAGTGCAAAATTTTACTCTCTTTTTCGAAAATATAGTGACAACATCATTGAAATACAGGAGATAAACTCATCTAGTGAAGAAATAATAAAATAAACATAATTAGTTAATAATCTTACAATTTACTAAAAAACTTTCTTCAAACTGTCCTCTATTTCTTTATCAGTTCGAAGGATTGTTAACAATGAATCAATCATTCATTAACCAATTTAAGTGATGCGAAAGGTTCTTTAAAGCATTATTTGTAGAAGAAAAGCATTTGTCAGCAACACCGTTGTACTGTAAATAATGTTGTGTTTTGTGAATATTTATGCCATATGTAAACAATCTGACATCATAAAACTGTGATGAATTCAGATTTTCCTTCCTTCGAAAATGCTTCTTAAAAACTTTAACATTTTTCTTCCTATCATTTATTCTCTTCAAATCAGTTATTCGTAAGATGGTGATAACGAGAAACTAACAATAAATCAAGATTTTAAGAAGTATAAGAGTCTTTTGTTGCATTGCACATACGACATCCTCTAATGATACTGTGTCTTCAAACCATAGCTAAATCATTTTCTTGTAGTAAATCAGCAATAACCATACTTCTATTTTCTTGCACATTCATTATCCTTTGCTTGTTGATGTTCAAAAAAAGATCAACATATAAATAATTACCTAAAAAGAACGATAATAAACAATTTTATTTTTTTTGTTTTTGACTTTTAAACTTGTAACAATGTCCGACATTAACGATAAGTTTTTACAAAAAAGATAAATTTATTTACACAAACAAATCTAAAATTGGTAAGCATGTTCATTCAGCATGTCTAAAACATGTTTGGACTCTAGAAGACAGAAAAAACAGAATTGCATTTATTAAAGCCAATTTCTAATACTGAGAAAGCTTCCTCGTTAGAAGATATAGAAGATAATATTCATTAACCACATCAATATAGTAATATTATCATTCGTTATATTTACTCATTTCGTGACAATTTTAATAAAAGAAAATAAACATTATTTATAATACTAATCGTGCTATCATAATTAATTTCAAAATTTTTCTTAAAAAAATAAATACATTTACATAATGTTAAAGCCATTTACAGATGCTCTCAATGCTCCTATATTAAATGAAATAAATGGTAATAAATACTCATATATTTATTAAGCCAAATTATCATTCTTTAATAATTAATATTTTTTTTTTAAAAAAAAAAAAAAAATAGTATGTAAGCCATTTAATTTTATTAAAGAATATTTGAAAATATCTAATATCATAATACTATATAAGAGTAAGATTTTTATATTCATATTGAAATTTAAATCTAATTAATTTATTTTTTTAAAAAAAACTAATGGTTAATTATATTTTAGTTAGCAAATTATTTTATTTATTTTATTCAAAAAAAGTTTCAAATAATCCTTTAAACTATTAATCTTAATTTAAAATAAATATTTTTAATAAATCTATAAGTTCAATTAAAATTATTAAAAAAAATCAATATTTTAAAAAAGTGTTAACATACTAAATATTATTGTTTTCAGTCTTTTACCAGTAAATTTGAATATTATTAATTAGAATCCTTAATATTTAAAAGTAACCTATATATTTTATATTATTTTATTTTTATTTTAGTTCAATTGGTTCCTTCTTTTAGACTTAGAACTAAACAGAACTTTTGAACAAAATCGTTCAATTTGAAGGTAAGCTGACTTAAAATTAATATTTTTTTTACTAGATATTAATATTTTTTTTTAGATTTTTTTAATTTTTTTATTTTTTCTAATAATTTATTTTATATTATTTTATTTTTATTTGATTACTTCCTTCTCTTAAGCTAAAAACTGAATAGAATTTATAAATAAAACTGTTTAGTTTGTTATAATGATAAAAGGTAAACTAATTAATTTTTTTATTTATTATTTTATTTCTTTTCTTATTTTGATAATTAGTTTGATTACTAAATTTATTTATTTTATCTATTTATTTGATTAGTAACAAATACAGATAACTAAAATTATTTTTTAATATATTATTCTTTTATTTTATTAATATTCATTATTATTTATTAATTTTATTTTTTAGTTAAATCAGTTTTTCTTTAACTAAAATTATTAATTTTTATTGCTACAGCATAGGTTTTTGACAAATTTTTTGATTTTATTGGTATTATAAACAACTGTTATTCTTATTAATATTAATATTAATATTAATATTGATATTAAAATTGATATTGATATCAATATAATATAAAAATGACCATATAATTCATGCATTAAGCTATTCAAATTTATACCTATTCCTTTCTTATTAGAAATAACTATAGCTAATACTATATAAAATAAAATTTACTAATAACAATATCTATATCAGTGATGACCAGTAATCCAAATGACCTCAAATGACTAAAATAACTAAGATGACTAGTCACATGTCATTCAAATCATTTTGACACTAATTGACAAATAATACAGCTATTTCCTAAACTAATCACCTTTTCATATTTTATGTACAAATCAGATAATTACATTATTCAATGATCTTTAATATATTTATTAAATGCATATTTTTAACAAACTAAATTTAAAAAATTATAATTCAAATTTCTTTTCTATTTGCAATTTACTATTTTAAATTAATTACTTTTTATATTTTAATAAATTATAAATAAATTATAAATAAATAATATGAAAACTTAAATAATACAAGATTAAATAATTTTTTATTAAAATAATATTATTACTGGTATTTCCAATCTAACCTAAATTAGTCAATATATTCACAAATTCAGGTAATTCAAATCTATTATTAAAAATGCTACTAAGATGCCATTTTGCAAGCAGATCATTAGCTGGATGAATAGTACAATCTACAACTATAAAAGCTGATAGATTTGTTTCATCACTATCTGAAAAATTTTCCTTACCAATCATATCCATCCAATTTTGAATTATACGTACTTATTATTCTATTGAATCAATGGTATCATTATTATTACATTTAAAATCAGATTTATGAAATTGTGTAAAGGATTCTTTTTTATTACTAATTATTATATCATCAGCCATCTCATTATCATTATCTTCTTTCTTAGAAGTTTTAGAAATATTTAAAATATTAGAAATTTCATAAGGTTATATAAGAGTTACTATATGATTTTGTTTATAAATTTTTTCTGATTTTTCAACTTCAATTTTTTTTCTTTTACACAAAATATCACTCCTTAATTAACTCATTCTAAGAAATTTTTATGCTTTTAAATTAAAATATTTAATAATATATCAAAAAAGTAATAAATTAATAAAAGTTTAAATTTTATTTACATAAGTCGATTTTACCTTTTAGAGTATAAAAATCTCATATTAGATCAAAGTCACTCTACTGAGGTTGAATTAACATAAATTCTATATAAATGAAGTGCAAAATATAATAATTCAAATGTTTGCCCTTTTACTAAATCCTAAAAATCTATTATATCCCCAGTAATTAATCCTTTTTCCTTTAACTAATAATTTAATTATATTCTATATCTTAGTCTTTCGGTTAAATATTTATCTGTTAGTCTTTTATTTAGTCAAATGTTTCTTAATTTTTCTTTGTAAAATTATATGATATTAGTTCTATGAATTTTTAACTCTACAATATAAAACTAAAGATAAAAATAATAGAGGTTGTTCTTATTGATTCAACTATTTTTAAGGTAGGTAATCATTTGATTAAAAAAATCCTCATTTTAATCACTAAAAAATCTTTAGTTATCCATCTAAATGTAAAAATTATTTCATATAATTATGCTATATCTTTTGTAATTTATTTAATGTTGTATAAAGTGGTAAAATTAGATCTTGAAATTCATACAGATAGCTCTAAAAATTATGATCATTAATGATGACAATTATATTTAGAGGAAGGAATTTTTTATCTGTATTTAGAATTGTCTTTATCTCTTATAATTACTTTGAAATGTAGAAGGACCTTTAAAACGTTCAGATATAAATTTTGTAGCTAAAGTTTAAAAAAATAAAATTAAATAAATATTTATTCATTAATCAATAAACTAAAGTATTAAATATCTTGAGTGTTACTTCAGTTTTTAAAATACTATGAAAATAGAAATAATAACTATTCTAACATATTTCATCTAAAGTAGCCAAAGTTATTATTTTACTATATAATAATTCTTGCTCATTTCATAATAGATCAATAAAATAAGTTGATAAATAAATATAACTAACAATTTTAACAGTTCTTGTTAAAGTTTGTTGATAAATATCTGATTTTTAAAAATATTCCTTATAATTAAATTCATTTAGTGAGTCATACAAGCTAAAAATATCTTATTAGAATAATCTTTTCACATAATCTTTATATTAAAATAAATTAATTAATTAATAATTAATATATAAAATTTTAAAATAATAAAATTTATACATATCACACAGCAGCATATTCACCTGCTGAGTCAGATAC